ATAATTACATGTTTTTTATTGGAATTTTTGTTTATCAAATTTGATTCTATCATGATATATTTAATAATTATATATATATGGTTGATAGAAAAAGTGCTACATTTGAATTGAAAATGTAATACATGCAACAATTGAAAGTGTTTCATAAATAATTAAAAGTGTTACGACAAAAGAATAAAAGTGATACCACAAAAAAATAAATGTATACAATTCAGTTAAAAGTGATAAAACAAAAGTTACACTTGATAGCGAAGTGTTACACAATAAATGATGATAGATAACATTTAATTAGTGTTACTAGAAAGTGTTACAATTTAATACTAGACGTAACACAAAAAACAAGTGTTACTAAAAGTCGTCAAAAGTATTACCATAGACAAAAGATAGCATAAGCAATTGTAGCGCCATAATTGTGTTACCTATAATCTATAGTAACATTTATAAGCTATTAGATATCACTTTTTTGATGTTACCAAAAGTGGTTTATGTTGTAGTGATATCAATATGTTAACTTAGGCTAAATTGTAAATTTGTTCCTATTAGATTTGTTGGTATTCGAGTTGGACGCGTATGAAGGGAACGGTTCAGAGGTAGGGGATCGGAGGAACTCGACCCGATTAATTGAGACCGGTCATCGTTGCTTCAAAAGTACCGATCTAGTCAAGAGTCAAAGTTAACGACCCCGATGGACCCGGTCACTTCCAAGGTGGGCACTCTGAACTCTTCGTCGGAAGGTCGACCGGGGAAAATGCCGACCCGGCGAGCGGGGCCCTGGAGGACGAAGTCGTGGTAAGGATGCCGACCTGGAAGTTACGTTGGGTCGGCTCCCGCAGGAGCATGGGGGTTCGAAGAATAGTATAAAATGCCACTTGTCGGTCAATGATTACCGATGGGACGTCTCGGACTAGCCTGCAACCCTTAGATACCTATCCCGACCTAGAAGCATGCACGCATTTAATGCAGCACATGTCCGCATTAAATGCCCTGAAGGTAATGATTGGATTCCGGGAATTACTCCCAATCAGTCAGAAGGGCGCCGAACTGTCCTTCAAAACCCCTATGAGAAGTGACAACATGAACAGTGGAGGAACCTCATTCAATGCTGCTATAAATAGAAGTTCACCTCATTTATTTGGGGTTGTTGAATCCTCAACTAAAATTGCTCTCTTTCTACTTTCTCTCTCTAAATCTGTAACTAATCATTGTAAAAATTGTAAGGATATCACAAGTGCCGACCTCGTATAAAAATCCATTCGGCAATTAGCAAAAACGTCATTCGTTCAAAACAAAAAGATATTCATAAGACAAAACGCCAAAGCGGCACCAGCAACAAAATACAATAAAAAGCAAGAAAGCAGAAAGTTGTTTTCAAGAGGACCACAGACGGTCAAGAGGACGGCTTGCAGGCCAGAAAGGATAACTACTTGCTAGGGGAGGGGACGGAAGACGATTCGACGTTAACCTAATCCGAAGGGGCAGCTTTTACCTCGGCCCCCTCGTCAACTTCCCCTACAACAGCCGGTCTGACTCCACTTACTCCCTCGGCAGCCCCGGATGTCCCGACCTCATGATTATTTGCCCCCTGCAATATCCGGGAAGGATCGTCCGCGTCGGCGAAATCTCTTGTCGGCAGTAAGAAAGACTTGTAACCGGACAGGACTTCGCCCGACTTCAAACGCATCTCGTTGAGGGGTGTCACGCCGAAGTTAGCGAAACCGATGATCTCGTCGTCGGCCCAACCTCTCTGGCGATGAACCAGGGCGGCCTCCTCCTCATCCACCTCGCAAACCATCCCCTCGTACTCGGCATCCAACACGTGCTTGGAGATCTTCGCTCGCATTATCTCGCGAAAATCTTCCGGAGTGAGCAGGCCGGCATCGAGGCGCTGAAAGAGCCAATAGAGATTGTAGCCGACCCCTGAATCCAGATCGGCCAAAATCTCCTTGACATACAAGTCCTGGATTTTGGGGTACGTTGGAAAGCGCGGCTGGACAAGGGTCTCATCGGTGTTCGAGTAGAGCTCCTTATTAAGAAACTGAACGGCCCCGCCGGAAGGGCTGGCGCCCTCGCCTGTGGAACCGCCATCGTTCGCAAATTTGGAAGGAGAAGACATTGCGACGAAAACAAAAAAGAAAAGTAGAAAGAAACTGAACGAGGGTGCCGAAAAGTTACCGAGAAGGGTCGCTGAAAAATTCTTGGGACGGGCTTGAAGATTTCACTAGCTCTCGGATGCTCGGACGTTCGAAATTGCAGGAGTAGGAAAAAGTTCAAAAAATTCCCGAGAAGCAGTATATATAAGGCCACTTGATCGACGGGGTGGAGACACGTGTGTAAAGTTTGAAATTTGAAATTCGAACTAAAGCATCCCTGAGAAGCCAAACGATCGCCTTTTCGAATACTGGGTCGGGAAGCCGCCAAGTGTCGTCGGCACGCCTTTTCGAGAAGCGACGGAAGGACAAGAGCCGCGTCACAATTAAGACCCGTCGTTTCGGGTCCTGTAATCAATACTTGAGACAATTTAGGCACAAAACTCCAGAAGTGCGACCAAAGAGCCGGCCTGGCAGTGGGGCCAAGTGCGCGTCCACCATCGCTTTTAAACAATAACGACCTCGAAGGAGGCGCTACGGACCTCCTCCGAACTCGGGGGCCTGTATGTTGATATCCGAGTTGGACGCGTATGAAGGGAACGGTTCAGAGGTAGGGGATCAGAGGAACTCGACCCGATTAATTGGGACCGGTCATCGTTGCTTCAAAAGTATCGATCTGGTCAAGAGTCAAAGTTAACGAGCTCGATGGACCCGGTCACTTCCGAGGTCGGCACTCTGAACTCTTCGTCGGAAGGTCGACCCAGGAAAATGCCGACCCGGCGAGCGGGGCCCCGGAGGACGAAGTCATGGTAAGGATGCCGACCTGGAAGTTACGTTGGGTCGGCTCCTGCAGAAGCCTGGGGGTCCGAAGAATAGTATTAAAATGCCACTTGTTGGTCAATGATTACCGATGGGATGTCTTGGACTAGCCTGCAACCCTCAGATACCTAGCCCGACCTAGAAGCATGCACGCATTTAATGTAGCACATGTCCGAATTCAATGCCCTGAAGGTAATGATTGGGAATTCCGGGAATTACTCCCAATCAGTCAGAAGGGTGTTGAACTGTCCTTCAAAACCCCTATGAGAAGTGACAACATGAACAGTGGAGGAACAGTACCTCATTCAATGCTGCTATAAATAGAAGATCACCTCATTTATTTGGGGTTGTTGAATCCTCAACTAACATAGCACTCTTTCTACTTTCTCTCTCTAAATCTGTAACTAATCATTGTAAGAATTGTAAGGATATCACAAGTGCCGACCTCGTACGAGAGGCCGACCCAGTGATCTATTAGTAAAATCGTCATTAGCCCGTATTTTCTCGTTATTTTCCCATTCCATATTTCATTGTTCACTTCTTTAACCGTTGATCGGAACCATCCATCAACAAGATTATGGAGGTAGCAATTTAGGTACTACTAGAGTGATATATAACAATTTAAGTTGCGTAATTTAAAATTTTCCTGCAATTTTAGTCATTTGACTGTTAAATTCTCAATTTTGACGTATTGTAACCTAAGTGGACCAAATTTACAATTTAGTCATCAATTTATCCAGCTTCAATTTTAGTATCTTAAGTTGTGTTGTACCAATCTGATTTACTAATCGAAACCAACCTAGTAAGAGCTGACGTAATACGATAATGCTGGTTCATTTAATTTGATGCTGCCACAAACAAAATAATCTACTCTAAGTAAGGGCATCCACATCCCACCATTCATGAGCCATTTAAATGGCACACAACACCATTCAAACCAATGCAACCATTCATTTGATTGGTATTAGTGGCGGGACTCATGACATCCATTCAATCTATTGAATGCCATTCAATCAATATTTTATTATATAAATAATATTATATTTGTATTTTATTGGATATAAAAATAATAAATAAGTAAGATAACGGGACCTGCACATTTGTATTTGAATATATGAATCAATAAAGGTTAGTTTTTAAATGAGTAAATTTTAGTGGAATGGTGATGTGGAGATAAGGTGAATGAAACTGAAAATGTTTTTTTGTTTAAATGAATGGTACGAATACGGACTAACATTTGTTTTTGCTAATATAACCTACAAACCTTATAGACTTGACATCGGCCCGTTTGCTTCACTTTGCATATAAAGTATTCAGACCAAACAATAACAAAAATCCTGACAGTTACCTTTAGATTATCCTAGTGCAGGAAAGATGATCCCTGGATACAACAAATATGCTTGAGAGAATGTCAATCTACTATGATTGCCTAGAAAAAAAAAAATTTCTTTCCATTTCCCTTTTTCTCACCCCTTATCGGAAGTGTGAGAATAATAAAAGGAATTTCACATTTCGCAATAACAATTGGTGTCATATTGTGCAAATTAAGATTGTCATGGTATCTTCTATTCAATTTTATTATTTTTAATGTAGCGTGAAGCACATTAAATTTAGAGATGACCACATTTTTTGTTTGAACTAAAGTGTTTTTCTCCTATTCTCATGTTAAATAGAGGATACTATCGTGAAATAAGTTTTTAATTGGGTAAAATTTCAAAATTAGTCCTATAACTTGACCACAGTCCAAAAAACCATTCCGATATTGACCACTTTCAATTTAGGTCCTATAATTTGACAATTTAATCAAATTTGGTCTTTTTTTTATCCGAACTCGGGATAAAAACGTGACGTGGCAGTTTTTTATCTGACATGGCGTGATTGTTGTCTACGTGGCAGGATTATGAAATGTTGACTTCAAAATTAACTAATCCACATCAGCAACAGACCTTAGTTGCAATTAACTATAACTTTTAAAATTACAAAGTAGTCCATACAACTTATTAAATTTCCAAAACTGAACCCCTACAATACTCAACTCTTCAATCTCTCATCCGCCTCCCCCGCTAGCTGCCGCCGTGTCGTTCGCCCCAAACTGCTCGAAGCTTCAGTACCGTGACCTTTCTCAGAACTACTTCGTGAGGGAAATTTTGGCCAACATCGGCCATCTCCGATCACTCCCCCACCCCTGAGATCTCTGAATCTCTACCGTAATCTATTTAATGGAAGTTCTGTTAATGGAACTTAACAGATTTGCAACTTTTTGTTTTTTTTAATATACAGTTCATATTAGAGAAGAAAAAAATTGAAAATACAAATTGACCGAACCATATCCCGTAACAAGAGTGCATCCGAATTTTCACCTCTTGACACAATGAATGTGACCATACCATCGTCTCCTGCTAATCTTCCTCTTCCGCTTAGAGAAAGCTCTATCCTATCCCCTCTTTGAGATCCTTTGCACTAGCCTTATCTTTAACTTTCCCAACGTGTTCCAGATTTTTAGGAGGGGAGAAATGGAGACTGCAAATCAAGACAATAGATCCTGCCAAGATATGCAAAAGTTGATGGCATATATGAGCATCCCCAGTCGTCTCTCAACCAGAGCCAAGGTCTCGTCTCGCGGCCATCGGTTGTCGGCTGAATTGCCATCGCCGTCCTCAGCAAGGCCGCCGCTGCCACTTTCATTTCTGAGTTCCCCCCCCCCCCCCCCCCCCCCCCCCCCCCCCCTTCGTCGGAGGGCGAGCCAAAGCCGCAAATTTCGAAGAAAGAAGAACTTTCCAGCATCACTCGAGCTCAACCTGCTCAAGTATTAAAACAGTTCAATTCTTACGATCCCTTATATCCCGTAATAGATCTGAAGTTAGATCTGGAACTTCACCAGATCGTTTTTTTTATTTTTTTATTTTTTTTCCACTATAGGTATAAGTATTTCCACCTAATTTTAGTTTTTTGTTTTATTTTTTTTTATTTCCACTTGGCTATAATTGAACTATTAAATACAAATAAAGTCCCCACATCACGCCATGTCAGATAAAAAACTGCCACGTCACGTTCTTATCCCGAGTTTGGATAAAAAAGGACCAAATTTGATTAAATTGTCAAATTATAGGACCTAAATTGAAAGTGGTCAATATCGGGTTGATTTTATGGACTGTGGCCAAGTTATAGGACCAATTTTGAGATTTTGCCTTTTTAATTGTGACGTAGCCAAACCGTAAACGTGAGAGTGATTGAGAGAGAACTCTTGTGTTTTTGTATATTCAATCAAAATCAACCAACCATCAAAATAATAGAATACGAGTCTTAAATACTTCCTAAGAGAGCCCTACTTACCATAAAATTTTCTACCAAATAGAAGACTAAAATACTTAAATAACAATACAATAAAAAAAAAAATAATTAAAGTAAAGATGTCAAATGATCATGCTTGTCCAAGAAAGCCAACGCAATCTCGTATCCATCATTCTCCCCCTCATGAAAAAGATTCACCCTCGAATCTGACGTAATCTCGTCTTCATTGAAATCATCACCATGGAAAGACACCAAATGTTTGACATTAAACACGTCCGATGTGCGAATGTGGGACGACAAACGAAGGCGATATATAGGCATTAGGACTAAGATCTCTTATGTACTTGCTAATTGCACCAGACTAGATGTATCTTTCACTACTAACTTATTAGCAAGATAAAACTTGTCACCAACGAGGAAACATTGGAATAGAATTAAACATATATTTCTTTATCTTCAAGGAACAACCGATTTGGGATTCTTTACTCAAATGATAAAAATTATGACATTTGGTTTTGCAGATGCAGGATAGTTATCAGACCCACACAAGGCAAGATCTCAAACTGACTACGATTTCACAATTGGTGGAACTGCGTTTTCCTGGCGTTCTAAAAGTCAAACATTGACTGCTATATCATCAAACCATGCTCAAATCATTGCACTTCATGAAACAACTAGGGAAAACTTCTTACTCAAAAATATGACCCAACATATCCAACCAATGTTTTAAATATTGTACCGATGGTCGTACCGGTCTAGCCACAGGTACGCGGTATTACCACTCGGACCGGTAATATCGGTGGTATTACCGGACTAGAAAATATAATAATATATATAAATATACATAAAAATGTATAATACCAAATGCAAATAAGTGAAAAAATAAATGACCATAATCATTAATTTAAACTTTTCAATGAGATACAAATAAAACATTCTAACTACCAATTTAAATTTTATGTTCTTAAATTAATATCTTTTTTACTTTTTATTTGTTGACCGGTATTTTTCAGTATTTACGGTATGATCCCGGTACAAACTGATATAATCGTAAATCCAGTATTTCGTGTGTAATTGTATTGTACCAATGACCAGTATCTAGCATTACCTGTATTACTGCCCGATACGATACGATATTTTAATCACTGCATCCAACAAGCCAATAGATTATCCAATAGCAAAGGTCCAACGGTGATATTTGAAGACAATGCAACATGTGTCGCTCAAACTAAAGAAGGATACATTAAGAGTGATAGAAATAAACATATCCTTCCTCTCATACACTCAAGAGTTTGAAAGGAATAAAGAAATCAAAATTTAAAACATTCGATCAAGCGATAATGAAGCAGATTTATTTACGTAGGCGCTTCCGACTGCAACATTTTGAGACCAAGTCAACAACATTGGAATGAGATATCTTTCAGATTTACACAGATGATAACTCGAGTGAGAGCATGTGCGGCTATACTTTTTTTTCCTTATCTCGATTTTTTTCTCCATGGGACTTTCCAGATAGGTATTTTGATAAGGCAGAACAAAACGCACATTTTATCGTGGTAATTCCAAAAAGAAGTGTTCTGCATAAGTGGACTTACCAGTATTTATGAATAATCATTTTATCACTATAGAGAACTGTGAACAGCATGATCAAATAAAATTTTTGTACAAAATTCTATGTAATATTGAGAAAGGTTACCTATAAAAAGACACCTAAATGCAATAAAAAATATATACAGAAGAATATGAGAGATCACGACATTTTATATCTTTAGTTCTTTAATACTTTCCCCACATTTATAACAAAAATTAGTATTCGGCTCTATGTATTTGCACAGATATAAATAAATTATTATAAGTTATTTATATGCATGTAATATTAAAATTATAAGTTAGATAGCGGTATTAAATTTTAAACATAGAGTATTATAAGTTATATTTATGCATATAATATTAAAATTATAAGTTAGATAATAGTATTATGTATTGAAATTTGATAATTGATTAAAACAAATAGTACATGCTTATTTAATTGCATATGAATTACTATATCGGTTTCATAAAACGTAATAAATAACGTAATATTTGTAATTTTGAGATCATGACCAATTGATTTACTGAAAAATATTAAATTTATTATACCAATTGCTTATGCGGTTTCAAGGGATTTTACTATGACATTAAAAAAATTAATTTATTTAAAAAAAAACGTTTAACAAGATAAAATAAATATAATATTGATTTTAAAATAAATAATTTAAACAAAAAGTTTTACAATATAATTTTTTACGTTTATGTAACTTTCATATATCATTTAATATAAAATATAACTATTCATTCTAATAATAACTATTATATGATACAATAAAAAGTAATTATTACTCAATTAATATAAAATACATATAATTAACAAAATCAGATTTTATAAAGTTAGGTGGTACCTAGGTATAATTTATAAGATAAAATTTATAAAATTTTATTTAATGAATTGCTAGCAATTATATATATATACATATATATATATATATCATATTATTTTTGNAATACATACATGCCTGTAATAGAATTCCCCTCTCCACCGCTAGAATAGTTGACTAGATTAGAGGCCCTAACAACTGCATATCTCGACCGTCCGTTGTTCGATCAACGGTTGCAGTTCCCCGATAATCATTAATCTATTCAGAAACACACAGCATTAGGGCTCACGGTCCAAAAAAGAAAAAAACTCCATCTTCTCACCGATCTCCTTCTCTGAACAGATTTTAAACTCTCAGTTCTTCACAATTAGCTATCTTTGAATTTGTCTCTGAAAACTTCCAGAAACTGACAATGAGCAAGGGACCAGGACTCTTCTCAGACATTGGCAAGAAAGCCAAAGGTTTGTTTACCATCTTTGGATTCCACATGTAATTTTATTTTACTAATTTAATAATTTTATATTTAAGTTTTTGTTTGGATTTTCTTTGCAGATCTGCTTACTAAGGACTACCTCTCTGATCACAAATTCTCCGTCTCCACCTACAGTGATGCCGGAGTGGTGAAATTTTCACTCTTTCGCTTTTCACAATAAATACGTTGATTATGATTGGATGCTTTTATTTTTGTGTTTCACGGGTTGTGAGTTGTTTGTTTAGCTGACTGTGTATTGTAGGGTTTCAATTATATGAAGCAGGTGCTAGTTTGTAAAATCAATAAGAGACAAGGTTACGATACAGTATAACCAGATTTAGCAAATTGAGCTGGGATGTGACTAGGGAAGGCAATAATATTGTGGAGTATTCATCGTGTAGTGTTTGCTTAGGCATAGTCTGTCTGATTGTTTTTCAGGGTATTGTTGCAAAAGATGTTCTTATTTCATTACCTTGTTTTGAAAGGCTTTTTCGATCATGGTCCCCCCCATATTGCTAATTTCTGGAGTAGTGTTGAATTTCTTTGTGATACAAGCTTCTTCTGCATTTGTTAGTGTTTAGCTAATGCTTCGGTTTCTTTTATTTGGGTGAAGGAGTCAACGTTTACATCTGATTACTGAGTGTTATATTTTCATCTATAGTTTGGACACGGAATTTGCTTTCGTTTTGTTTGTTGGTTTTAACTAACATTACATTTTTTAGCTTGTTTAGTGTTCATGGTTCCCCAGGCGCCTTGTAGTGCTTTTCCTACGCCAAAGGCGGTCCTCACCCCAGTTGTTCTTTAATCTAAAAAAAATGTTCTAGGAATTGAAAGCGGGTTTCTCTCCTTCAGATTGAATTAGCGCATATAAATGGTTCTTTAGATTAGAGAAAAATAGAAAATACCTTTATAAGCTCGTTGGATTTGAAAATTGAAGGGAACAGCGGCCGGAAAATCCCACTTCTGACTTTCTTTGACCACAAGCCGCCATCTTGCCGCTGCAGACCTCTTTTTTGGTTTCCTCTTTTCATTTTCTGTTTCTTTTCTTTTCCCATTTTAGTTTCTTTGCTGTTCTTTCTTTATGTGCCAGATTATGGTCATGGATAGAAAATTAGGTCCAAATTGTCCATTTGAAGAATGCAGCCTCTGATGGTATATAAATTAACTAAATGGGATGCTTTTCATTTGAAATGCTGTATATTTTTTCCCGTCTTGGGAGGATAATAATCATATTCAAATTGTAGATGTTGCAAATTTGGCTGCTTTTCGTTTTATTTTATAGATGTTGCAAATTTGGCTGCTTTTTATTTTATTTTATCTTTGTATTTATTTATTTTCTTCTATTACTGTTATTTTTTGAATTCCATCTTCTTCTTTTTTTGTGTTATATGTATTTGTGATTTGTACTCTTGCTTCCTGGGGGATATTTGAGGATGATTTTACCATTTAGACTTGAAATATGCAATTGAACCATCTATATTATTGGGTTTTTACATTTTGGTGTCTTACGTCGCAAAGGACTCGCCTCTCGCCTCATGAACATTCCATTGCAAATCTCCTCGTATCGCCACTCATCATTTCAATCTATGGTTTGGTTTTAGATGAACTTCTCCATAGTAGTAGTCCATGATCTAGCGATGAGTTTTATACACATCAGTCTTTGCAAATTGCAGATCATCTTCATGACATTTATAATGGGTTAAGGTTGGGGATGGTAGGGAAGAGAATTTTATGTTCTATAGGATGCAACTTTTTTGCTAATATTCTGTTGCTATATTTGGGCATTAAGTAAAATAGCATTATATATATGTGATGTGCCAATGACTGGTTTTGTCATTTACTTTTTTAAAGACAATCTCAATTAGTTTGTTCAGTAAATGAAAGTAGATATCACTAGTCTACGATCGCGTTATCTTCCTTTTATTCCTTCTTTTCTCTTTCGTCATTCTTAAGAGCAGAGAATAAATTTAAAAGTTATATTACATGTCATCTATTTACCTTTTTAGTTATTTTTCTTTTCTTTAGTCAGGCACCAAATAGATCTCTAAGCGTTTGTGCTTTCCAAACAGGAATTTTTGAATTATTTTGCACAATCTTTTTGCCGGTGATTATAATTATATTAAAGTATTTCAATTTGATAATCGCAAAAATTAGGCAGGTGAGTAAATTGTTTCTGAATGTGGAACTCTTTTACAAGTATCTAATTGCTGTGGCCAACCTTTGATCTAAACCATGGTGCTTTAGTCAGGCTAAATGCGTATTTGTGATTTTCATATTAAAAAACTCATATGTTAGTGTTTGGGTTGTAACGCCGCCACTGTCTTTTGTTACTTATATCAAGTATCCATCAATAGAGAATTTTTGAATTGGGGCAAATTTTACTTGGCGTTTTACATATCTCTACTTTCCTTTTTACTGTTTTTAATCTCCGTTTCTTGTTCTTTTTGTGGAGTAATAGATTCATTTGTAGTATCATGTTCAATGTTTTTTGGATGAAATGCTTTTTAACCATGCCTATTAGTTATGCAGAGTCAACTACCTCGCCAAATTGTTTAATTCTAATATTCCAGGCCCAAAGTCTATTTCAAACATAGTCTTTAGATTTCCTTTGCATCCTTGAGCACGACTTCCACAATAAGCATACGGATGTACTTGCATGGTGGAATATTTGTAACACAACTCTTTGTTTAATATCAAAGCATGTTGTGGATATATTTTTTTTTTCTTTTATCTGCTTCTCAGTTAATTAATATTTCTGTGCCTAAATTGGAGGTACTGATCCTGACATCTTGTAATGTATCTTTTCTAAGCGGACTGTGTTCGGTGAAATAATTCATCCTGCTGATTAGTTCTTTATTCTATTGCGATGTCCTTTTACTGTAATTGTTCATTGGTCGGACAATTTCAATAACTGATTTTTTTCCCCCTCAACATAGGCCCTGACAACATCCACTGTGAAAAAGGGTGGCTATTCATCCGGCGATGTGGCAGCTCAGTACATATATAAGAATACTTCTGCTGATGTGAAAGTCGATACAGAATCAAATGTGAGCGATTGCAGAAATTTTACCACATAACAAATGCTTAATGCTCCTTTAACACTATTCCCATAGTCAGTCTGACCCTTTTTTTTCCGTTATTTCACAGATCTCAGCAACTCTGACTGCTGCCAATATCATCCCATCATCGAAAACAATTGCCACTCTGAAGTATCCCAATTACGAGTCTGGCAAGGTGTTTGTGCCCCATTTTTCACATCCTTACCCGACTTCAGTCTCCTCTTTCCATTACTAAATATTTTCTTGCTTTTTTTTCTTTTTTTTTTTTTTTTT